GCTTCCCAAGAACTCTCTGAGTCCTCTGGCTGAGGTTGGTGGGGGGATAGAGGCTACTGTCTGTTTCCTGCTTTCTGTCAGCCAACGTTGCCCTCCCTCCAACCTATAGCCCAAATAGTTTACCTGTTGTAGGCAGATCTGGGCTTTCTTTGCTGAGGCCCGGTATCCAAGTTCCCCCAGTCTCAGTAGGAGAGCCTCCGTACCTTGCAGACAGCCAGCTTCTGTCTCTGCTGCTAAGAGGAGGTCATCCACATATTGAAGAAGCATAATCTGTGGGTTTCTTACCCGAAAGTCAGCCAGATCATGGTGTAGAGCTTCATCAAACAGAGTAGGGGAATTCTTCAACCCTTGGGGAAGTCGTGTCCAGTTAGTTGCCCCGATATTCTAGCTTCAGGGTCCTTTTATTTAAAAGCGAAAATGGGCTGGCTAGCCGGGCTCAATCTTAGGCAGAAAAATGCATCCTTCAGGTCAAGAACAGTATACCACCTGTGACTGGGAGGCAAGGTACTCAGGAGATTGTAAGGATTTGGAACAGTGGGATGTATATCCTCTATCCTTCGATTGACTTCTCTTAAGTCTTGGACTGGTTGGTAGTCATTTGTTCTTGGCTTCTTTATGGGGAGCAGTGGGGTATTCCAAGGGGGCTGGCAGGGGCGAAGTATACCTACTTGTAAAAGTCTCTGAATATGAGGTCTGATTCCTTCTCGGGCCTCTCTGCTCATAGGGTATTGTCTGATTGAAACCGGAGTTGCAGATGGTTTCAGTGTGACCACTATTGGAGGCTGGTTGCATGCCAGTCCTGGGCCTCCTGTCTCAGCCCATGCTAAAGGAATTTTACTTAGCCAATCAGATATACCAGGAGTTTCTGCTATCGGTCCCTCATATAACCGATGTTCATCTTCCAGTCGCAGGGTTAATACCTGTAGTGGAGCTCCATCTTTTCCTTTTTCAGTAGCTCCCTTTCTAGTAAAATGGATGTGGGCTCCCAGCTTAGAGAGTAAATTTCTCCCAAGAAGGGGATATGGACAGTCTGGGACCAGTAAGAACGAGTGGGAGACCTGTCCTGTGCTGAGGTTCACTTTTCTTTCTGTGGTCCATCTGTATGTTTTTCCTCTGGTAGCCCCTTGGACCCAGGCTGTTTTGGAACTCATAGGTCCCTCAGTTGTTGTCAGGACTGAGTGCTGAGCTCCTGTGTCTACCATGAAGGTAGTCAATTGCCCCCCTATCTTCAAGGTTACCCTGGGCTCAGGGGGGAGCTCCTGGCCCCGACTTCCCTAGTCCCCTAGAGTCAGGACTGGGGTTATTTTCTTTTGAAGTCTGTTCAGCTTCTTCGGACATTCTCGAGCCCAATGTCCTCTCTCCTTGCAATAGGCACACTGGTCTTTATCCACTCGGGGCCTTCTCTTGTCTCCCAGGTTCCTACCTAGTCCTGGTCCTGTTCCCTGAACTACTGTGGCCAAAATTCGACTTAATTCTTTATTTCTCTTTTTCTCTCTCTTATCTTCTCTAGCTTCCTGCTCTTTTCTGATTCTGTCCTCTCTTTCTTCTAAAGTTTCTCACTTATTATAGATTCTTTCAGCTTCTCTTACTAAGTCCTGTAAGGAGTACCCCTGAAGGCCCTCTAGCCATTGGAGCTTACCACGAATGTCAGGAGCTGATTGCCCTATAAAGGCCATAACAAGATCTGCCTGACGCTCCTGGGCTGTGGGATCAAAAGGGGTGTACATCCGATATCCCTCTATCAAGCATTCTAGAAACCCTGCTGGGGTTTCATTTTCTCCTTGGGTTATAGCATGTACCTTTGCCAAATTAGTCGGGCACCTTCCGGCCCCTTTGAGACCCG